ATTTAAAGGACGGGTAGATGAGGCGCTTAGGGACATGGTTTAGTGGGCATGGTGTTGTTGGGTTGACGGTTGGACTCGATGATCTTAGAGGTCTCTTCCAACCTTAATGATTCTATGATTCCCCCCACCCCCATCTTTGCAGGGATGTCTTTGGTTATCATTAATTCAGTGATTTTTGTGTTGCAGAAAAGCAGAGTTGACTGCCCGAGTTTCAAAAATGTTTCCTTCAGCTCCTCTGAGGCCTGCCTGGCTGCTTTCTGCTTTTTCTTGCAGTTTTGGAGAGGCTTCTAGCACTGTGCCACGCTCTGTGTCTTCCCTTCTCTTCTAAACTGGCTCAGTAGCTCCCTAAGGGAAGGATCAGTCTTCTCCCAAGGGCTTCCTACCTCCATCCCACGTTTTTTAACACAACTGTGAGTAGAAGCATATTAGAAAGGGGGAGGGGGCTGGAGGCATCCTAGTAGCTGTGGAGAGAAGATACCTATAGGTTTAGATGGGTCTGCTAGAAGCATATTTAAGACTAAACTTCTTCCATACGTGTCATGGCAGCTGCCCTGGAAGGGTGAAGTATGCTTCTTCCCAGGAGCTGCTGCTGAGCAGCCTTCTCAAGGGGTGGAAATGAGGCTTCTGAGAAAAATTAAAAATAGCTCTGTTGCATTACACATCTCAGCGTTGTAAAAGATGTCCTGGCAGATTAGTGATAGGCATTGACTTTGGAATGAAGACAAGTAGAAAGGGATGCAGAAGGTAGTAGTAACCAAGGAACCCTTACAAGGTGGTTGGATTTAGCTACCAGCCAGTAGCTCTGTGGGAATAATGTTACACCACTCTCATACCTTTACTCAGTGGCACTATTGATCTGAAAGTCTGCATTCATGTGCCTGGTGCTGATTTCTTATCACGATGTCTTGTTTTCACAGCAGCTGTCTTTTGAGTTGCATATGGAAATCATTTCACTCATGTTAGTCTAATTGAAATATACTTGATCTTAGGGTAATGATGATCAGCAGCTGATGGAGTTGCTGCATAAGTTACACTTCTGCTGAACTGTAGAAGCATTCAGGGCCGCGCTCTGCCTGTAATTTTACCAAGACTTTATCTGGGAGCAAAATGGCTTTAGTTCTTTGCAACACAGCCATTGACTGCAGCACCCTGAACTGTACGCATAGATCTGTTTGGTGCTGTGCTGTTCACTGCAGCACCAAATTCTCCAAATTTCAGCAATGCATCAGAACTAGAAACAATTGTAGGTGAAGGTGTGGATGGCAGCTTTCTTCATATAGCTACACTCAAGTTATGCGTTGCAAGCTGTAAGCATGTCCTGTTCTGAGATCTGTGTGCTTCGTGGAGCTACAGCAGGCTTTATCCACGCTTCAGCTGATGAGCAGCGTTTCGCAGATGCTCACGTTATGACTAGGACTGCAGGGATTGTTCAGGTCTGCTGAAATCTGTCCTTGGCATACCAGAAAGAGCCATACTATGCCGTGATCATGTTATCGGTTGTTTGCCTTGCTTACGGGCACAGCAGAAGGCAGTGTGTCGCAGGATGGCAGGTGATGGAATTGGAAGTAAAGACTTCCTCTAGATCAAGGGGACCTGTGGATCACTAATCATATTTAATACAGCTGCAGGTTTTTCCCAAGATGAAATTCTTACCAGGGATATTTTTAAAAAGCTTCAGAAACAAATGGGAGTAATTAATTTTGACTGCATCAAAGCAGATTTGTGTTCATGCAGTGGGCTGTTCTAGTGCTACAAGCCTCTGCACTGAACTAACAGTTCTCCTCACCCAGTCTGTGGTGACTCCTCCACTGTTTCCCTTCCCCTGGCTCTGTCACACTCTGCTTCCAGTACCGATGATGGTGATGTCTTTGCTGGGTCTATTCTAGGCTTCTAGAATAGTCTGAAAAAGCTGCCATCTGTCTCTGTCCCTTTTTAAATATTAACTTTATGAGGCTCTTGAAGCTACTTTGATTGCGGAGTGCTTTGATGTGTATGTGAACTGTCAAGAGACTAGAGACTGTTACTTTTAATGTACCTGTTAATGCAGTACCTCTCCAGATGAGTCTGTTTTCCCTCTGATTTGAAGCAGTGATACCGTATATAGCAACGCTGCGTGTTAACATCTGTTCAAACAAATGGTTGCTTCTGTCCTCACCACAGTATTCATCCAAGGTAAAAAGCTGTTGTGGATTCTTGCTTCGTAACCCTAAAATTTTGTGCAGTGATGACAACGGTGTCCAGACAGTGACTTGATAGCAGCTCGCATGCACATGTGCTAAAGCAGCTTTCTTAGGGGATAGACAGGGTAAGGTAGGAGTGTTCTCTTTGAGGCTCCATTTCAAGTTGCACTTGGCAGTATTGTAATGGAAACTGCAGGTACGCTTTACACTGTTTATTTAGACACTCTGCGTTAGTTTGGCTTTGCTGTTTGAATTACTCTTTTTTTTTTAAGTGTGCTTTGATTTACTAGGTGGGCTGAAACCTCCGGTTTCAGATATTTCAGCCCACTTACTCAAGATAACACTCACATTGTGGAGACTTGACAGGGCAATGAGCATTGGCAGGGAGGAGGAAAGTTGGCGAACTTCAGCTTCTGGGAGACCCTGTACAAAACCCAGAGGGCATTGGCAGGAGACTGCACAGCAGGATCGAGAACATTCAACTTCGCAGCTTCGGGAAGCTGTTGGACAATTTAGAGGCTGACAAAGAGGTCACTACAGTGTTAGCTATTTCCCTGCTCATCACTGCAATGAAAGATGAAGCTTCTTAGGACTGTTAGTATCTGGGAAAACCACCTCAACCAGAGGACAACACAAACTTTACTCAGTATATCAATACTGTCCGGTAATTGTGTCATGAGCACAACACTAAGGCCAAAGTGAAGCCCTGAAGGCAGGTTTGTGTGCTGTGGTTGGTACATGTAGTGCTCGGTAGTACATTATTCCTACAAGAGCTGTGACACTGTTTGCTTTTGCAGTTGCATAATACAAACACTGAGTAAGATTTCTCAGCTCACAGTGCGTTGGCATTTCATGAATCTGAGGAAGAGAAGCAATGCTCATCGCTTTCAGGGACTGAATGTACTTCCTGACTGAGGACTAGATAGGCTGGTAGCAACATGGTGAGCTGCTAGCTAAATTCTCATTATGTAGGCTTAGTATATTTGTAAGTTAGGCTGTGTGTGGTTTAGCCCACAAAGAATTTTTTTTTTAATCCAGATCATTTACCTCATGGTATTTACATTTAGGAAATTGATTTTGCTAAACTGCTTGAAAACTGAGGAGAATATCCTGTAATAAGTTCAAAGTTGGCTTTGATGCTAATTGTATTTAAGTGTCTCGTATTACCACAAATTATGGTTGCCTCTTAGGCAAGTCTTGGAAGTCTCTTAGAAGGAAAGAGTAAGAAGGCTTTTTACATGCATTTCTAAGTAAGTAAAGGAGAAACTGCTGCATCCTATGTGAGAATCTTCTGAAATTTGAAATTTTGAAGTAAATTTCTGAGTTTTGTTGTCTGTAATATGCTAGTTAAGAGTACACCCACCTGATCTAGCCTTTTACTGCTACTTCAAAGCGTATAACTGAAATTCTTTTTCTTAGTGCCTTGGCTGACAATGGCATAGATGAGTGACTTCTGATCCCTTCCTTGTTTATAATTCTGAAATGTGTATGTATTTCTTATTTGTTCTAGCTTTTACAAAACTGATCACAGTAAATGGCCAAGAATATCATCTTCAGCTGGTTGACACCGCTGGCCAAGTAAGTTATCTTTCTTTCTTTGACTCTTTCTTCAGAGTTAAGACAGGTATTCATACTCCTGTAGAACTAAGCTGGTAGCAACCATGTGCTCAAAGCTGAAGTTTAACACAAATGATTCTGCCTTATCATTTAGTCACCAAAGAGCAATGTTTCTGTAGTGTTTCTTTAAACGGTTTTGTTGGGTTTCGGTTTTTGGGGTGGTTTTTTTTTTTTGTTCTCCTGTCTATTGAACGTATGCCTAAAAAAGCGAAGAAGGAACTGCCTAAACTCTGATGTACCAAAAGTTCATAAGTAGCTTGCTTGATATGTACGAACTAAACTAGCAGTCTTGCTTTAGATGGAAAATGTCACTTCAATAAACCATGGAGAAGTTTTTCATGACTTTTTGCTATTTGTGTGCTCTAGCTACACCACTGTGACTTACATCCATGAAGTAGTCATGGGGAGTATACAGAAATGCATATAGGTAGTACTTAACGGGCTACCAATAAACTGCTGCAGTTTGTTTACATTTTTAAGTAAGTGATGATTCATGCATGCTTCTGAGCTTCATGTAGTGACGGGGAGCACAGGAGCAGACAGTGAACACGTGTCCTGTGGCATGGTCAGTAGCTTCATGAAGTACAGGTGTTCATTATATAGTGCTGCTTGGCTGAACTTGCAGTGCATGTTCCGTGCACAGGAGTGCTCTGTCCTTAGAAAGACTCTATATTAAAAAAAGGGGGGGGAAGACCCAAACCAGAAAACAGACTGTTAAACCTCTGTATTTTTATCTTAAACTTTCTATTGCTTACCTGTTCTTACCTTCTGTGAGTTCTGATACTATACCTTTGGGTTTTTCTATACTTTTTGGGTTTGAGTAGTGTTAAACAATCTTAGTGTTGTAAAATATGCTGCCAGTACTTAAGACTTTAAAGCTGCAGGACACTTGCTCATAGCTGGGACACTATTCAGAAGGGTTGTAACCTTCTAGGTATGTTTGATCGCTTTCTTTGAAGAGAACTACATGACTTAAGAATAACCATGCTGTAATTATATGGTGTCAGCCTGTGGTGCTAATCAGCAACACTATATTCACTTACAATCTGTCAGAGGTGTCTGAAGTGATTAAAAACGCAATACTGGCGACACGTGCTAGGGCAAGACTGTTTGATGGGGAATATTCTGCAGAGGAGAGCAGGGTTGAGATGGGCAGCCTGTGAAGTGTGAGCAGCAGAGCAAGCTCCGTAGGTTTCACTTTGTGCCAAAGTCTGCTTGCCTTACATCTCCAATTGTAGCGTAGTGATAAAAGTAAAATCTCTCTTTGAGGAAGAAATGACCGCCTGGGAAGGCAGTGTAACTGTGGTAATATACCTCTATTGCTGAGGTTTATTTTCAGGGTTGATTTAATGTTGTACAGTATTGTAAAACCAAAAGAACTTCTTTCCCAGCCTGTGGTTATTTTCAGATTTGATTCATCATATGAATGGCTTGAACTTTGAGTTCTGGCTCACAGGGTTAGAGGGGAGAGATGATGTTGGGTTATAGAAGGTATGGCTTGAACAGATTTCTTTCTCAAGTCTGTCTTGCTTAATGATCCATAGGGAGTCCTCGTGTATACAGCATAGCAAGGATTATATTGTAGATTTGTTATATACTTGAAAACTTGACTATGACTTGAAAAGTTAGAGCTACGTTGTTTTATCACTTGGCAAAGTTCTTAATTTGACCCACAAGTTCCAGGAAGCATGGCAGCTTTTCTTCCTTCTCCTAACAAGCTAAATATGAAGTAATAAATTAGAAACAGTGGAGGTTATGGCACTTACTTTTCTTGGTACTCCTTCTGTCCCATGCCTCTTTACCTTTCATGGTTATCTATTCAGATTTGCGTAGTTCAGTTAAACAGGAGTACAGGATCACAGAAGAGGAGCTAGGGCACTCCTGAGAAATTCCGGGTAAAGTCAAACAACTACAGAGTTGCACTTTCACCTGTTTTACACGCAGACTAGCTCAGATCCCTTCTGTATTGACTTTGAGATTACACGGCCAGCTGAAGTGGCAGTTTGGCATTTCAGGGAAGATGGGGGAGGGCTGCCCTCAGTGTGTAGCAATAAAGGCAAATAAGGACATCTTTTGTCAAGTGTTATTCTTTCAAACTTTTTGGCTGCATCTGTGAAGTTGATTTATAAAGGGTTTTTCCTCATTTGCCAGTTACGGAAGTTTGATTCCTTTTGGCTGTCTAGAGTTAAGCTGTGTGATTGCACTGCTCCATCTGTTCAGTCATGACAATGTACAGAGAGGTTATGTGATCTTAAGCTAAAATTAACATCTTAAGAAGCATAAGTTTAAAAACTTGAGAACTTATACATTAAGAAGTATGGCTCTTGTCAAAATTGAAATGTTTCCTGGGAACATCTATTAGAATGATTTAGATTTTTAACATGGGATTCATAGTATTTGTGTTGCATTTCCTGCAATATGTAAGTCTGTTTCATTTACCTATTTGGTAAGTTCGTTTTCTACAGCGGTCATAAATTCAGTGATTCAGTTTCTGTTGTTTTGTGGTGTGTGGTTGTTTTTTTTTAATTAAACACTTGTCATATAATGTAAACATCTAGTTTACATGAACATAAAGCAACTAATAATGATATTTCTTGCATCTACAGTTGATAAGCGTTAGTTAGTTGGTAAGTCACAGTTACTCACTTCCTAACAGACCCCTCAGGTAATTTAGATGTGATCAGTGTCACTGGAAATTATGAACTGCTAGATCCTGTCGTCAGCTGTTGAAATTAGGAATTTGAAATGTATCGCTAGCAAGATAAGAGGCGTAATTGCTAATTAGTGGTAGGACAGAGTACATGTTTTGTACTAATACAAACTGATAATTAAGCAGGATAAGAGGACTGGGAATAGCTTTAGCTGATCCATAGTCTCAGAGGGAATAAACCAAAAAAATATGTAGATTAAAATTTAGAGTACACAGACTGACTCAGCTTTCTCTTAATTTGGTAAAGATTCCACACCTGGCATTATGATGAAAAAAAAATGTAATTCTGAAAGTAGTACCTATACACAATGGTCCTGCACCTCATGTCTTACAAATAGACCAACTTAACTGCTGGTGATTTGCTAGCATCAAGTTCTGAACTGTGGCAGTAAGTAATTTTAAATGCAATGTTCCTTCTACAGGATGAATACTCCATATTTCCTCAGACGTACTCCATAGACATCAATGGCTACATTCTTGTTTATTCAGTCACATCAATAAAAAGGTAATAAAATCTGTTGTGTTCTTCTGGTTCAGATATTAACCAGATATATTCTGGGTTCAGCTCCTACCTCTGCTATATTTTCTTCACATGTGTTTAATTTGTTGAATCTCTATCTCCCTTAGAAGTATAATGGAAATAAAAATTAGTGGGTTTTCAGAAATTTCCCCTCAGATCCAAATGTCACAGATACTTTACAGGCTAATATGCAAGGTACCATGTAAGAAACGAGACAGTGCTGAACTACATTATTTTGAGATGTAAGTAAAAGTACATAGAATGATTTCAAGAATAAGTAGAGTTCATTGCTCTAGCATCAGATACAAAGGCGGACTTAAATATGAACCAAAAGGGCACTTTCGTTTATGTGAAGTACCCAATTAGTTGCTAGATTGGTCCCTCAGCCTTGTAGCTCATTACACTACTGAGATTGCTTTGACTTCTTGGCTTGGACTGTTCTGGTTAACCATCAGAAACTTTCAGATAAATAGCGATGTATCAATATATGACTTTTGGCCTGTAGAGTCACTCTTGCCGTGCTGCAGCAAATACGGTACTTGAAAAATTTCCCAGAGTATCTATTTTGTCCTCGCTGTTGGCTGCAGTCCGTTCTGTCGTGAGGACAGAGTCCATTGTAGCTGGAGTCATTTACTTGCAAGAAGCATCTCAGCATTCGTAAGGTTTTGTCATCTTCCATTATTTTGTCCCTTCCATCTGGTTGTCTTGCTTTGTTTAAATGCTGGTCGTTCTTGAATAGATCTTAATTTTCTAGTATTGTACAGCATCTTTGTTATGACAGCCAAAATAATCCTATTTTTTAAAACTTTTGTTCGAGTAAAATGATTAAGACCTTAGGCCTTTCACTCTCTTCAGGTAGAAGAGAAGTTGATGCTTCCCTTCTACTTGCAAGGAAGCTGATCAGCTTCTTACAAGTGCTGAAGCGTTCCATGTCTTTTCTTCTGAAGCAGACAAAACTGGTCATCTCAAGTGCTCTTTAGCAGGCCATCACAAAATACGGGTAAAACAACTTGCCTCTTGGCTCTTCTGTGCTTCTCAAAGAAAGGATACGGTCTGGCTATAAATGTCCGTTGCTTGCAAGGTCTTTAATGTTGAACAGGTTTTGGCAGTCCATCATTCTTGGTTTTCATCTTTAGTTCTGAAGTAGTGAACAGCAAGCACATGTCATGTGGAGGAGATGCAACAGATGTTAGGCTTTCATGTGTATCTAGAGGTACTAAGCTACCTAACGCCCTTTTTTTAATCAGAGCTTTGTTGTTGGTGATGAATAACTTCTATGAAATAGGAGTTAGTATTCTCAGCCTTAAGTGGACAATCCTCCACTTCTAAAGTGAAGAGAAAAATGTTCATTGAGAAGTGGTACTGTGAGGGCAAAAATGTCTTTGACTAAAATAAGCGTAGATCCTTGGAGGCTTCTGCAGCTTGTGCTCTTCCCTGGTTGGCAGCTAAAGGACATGCTCTTTTTCAGCTACTCCCGTTGTTGCCTCCTGGTGTCTTGAGCTTAGCAGCCCAGACAAAGAAATGAAAATCTGTTTTCTGTGGTAGCATTCGATCAGTTAAAATGGAAACCAAATTATGGTGAACATACTAATAGAACAAGGTATGTTAAGACTGTAGGTAGATAGTATTTTCATCAGTATTTTAGTCTTGATCTGTTTATTCCAAGTTTTTTGTTTCTGCCTTTAAATTTTAAAGCATCAATGATCCTGTCTTGTTCAATTTCTTATGGTCTGTATCAAGACAGCATTAGGCAATAGGAAAGATCTTCCACAATACTCTGGTAGCTTAGATGACTTGCCCAGGCAATCAAATTACGGTCACCATCTGTTTTGACTTCTGTCAAAGTGTGTATATTGATCTGAGTATTGATCCAGCAGGGTTGAGAGCTTTGACAGCAAACTTAATAGAAATGCCTTTTTAAAATTACCGTCTTCCCTGCTAACCTCCAGTGGGAAGTTTAAATGGGACTTGAGTAAAAGCTAACGCCCTACATTTTTCATATTCCCAGGCTCTCGGCAGCAAGGTTACTGGAAGGCTTTTGCTCTAGTTCAGCTTAATTAAATTCCAATTTTGTATCTTGCTAGGTTCCATGGTTTTGTGTCACACATTTATCCGACAGCTAGTAATTTTTTTTTTGTTGTATTTCACACATTGAGATGTTTGCTGTAACCCTATTTGCTTGTCACAACTGGAAGGACCTCTTATGGTCTCCAGATCGCTTGCTGTTTCACGATTTGATAATGTTCTTTTTGGATTGGTCAATATTTGTCTTAAACTCTGCCTCTGCTCCTTCTAGCCTTATTAATTTGTAAAGCTTTCTAGAACATTAAATTGATCTGGTCAAGCCAATTTCATTCTTGGCAATTCTTAGCAACTTGTTTCTGTGTCAGAATTGTGTGTGAATTTAAATAGCACTTCTCTTTTGGTTTCCACCTTGATCTATTAACAAAGATCAGCTGTTCAGCCTTTTTACTAAAAACGGAGCTTGTGAACTACACTAGATGAGCAGATACACAGAATTGGGAAGTGAAGAGCCTGAGTTGAACAAGAACACTTTGCAGCATTGTGCACTGGAACCTCAGGTGAAGGCTCGCTGGGGTGCTATGCCATGCCATGGCTTTTTCTAGCTGTTCTGGGAACAGCAGGCCTAATAGTGGAAAGGAAACAGTGATTGTATTGTGTTAGTGATTCAGTTATCCTGTGGCTAGTACGCTAGATCTTTCCTGTTGCTTCAGACTGAGAAACAGTTTTGTGGTCTGTAGCAGAATTTTTTTTGTAGTATTTTTATTCCTCTTTCAGTTTGCAGGGTCACCTAGTTCTATATGTAGCAATGCCTCTCAACTTTGTCACAACCAACCTCCATTTAACTCTTATTTTTAAAGTAATGCTAAGAATGAAAGTCCAAGACGAGTTCTCGAGACCAGAATTTCACTAATACCTTTTCAGCATAAGCTCTTTGTAACCCTAAAGTCCTTTCATTGATTCCACATTTTCATGTAATCTGTAGTATCATACTTGAGTTACTAATAGTAAGTTGTGCCTTTTGTCATGCTTAGGTCACGCTTTTGTTTGCAAAGAACTCATTTTCTTGATAGGATATACTAAAACTATTAGCTGAACACGGAGAAGTATTATGTTCTACTCAGTCTCAAAAATTATTGCTGAAATCAGACAAATTGACCTGCTTGGCAGAAAATCCTTTTTAAACATGGTAGCGTTTATTGTTCCAGAAGTGAGAAGTTTTAGGATTCAAATAGCTTGAATAGTGTTTTTAGGCACCAGTTCTTTGAGAGCTCTGAGTTGGAAGTGTGTTTGAGTGCTGCTCTATTTTTAAGAGTTTCAATTCTAATTGAAATGCAGTGCAAGTCAAGACACTGCCTGTAGCTAACAACCTTGGAAGTTGGAAAAGTGTCGGTCACTTTTTTGTGGTATAGTTGTGTGTCTCATCTGTGAACCTGTGCCTCCTCTTAAAACAAATCTGCATTATGCACTTCATGTACCAGCATTTTTTCCATACTGTAATTAGAGGAGCACAACATCTGCGCTTCAACCCCATTTATACTTTGTTCTCAGAAGTACTAAATGTCAAATGCAGTGGATTTTGTTAGTGAGGTTTTTGGCGGCTTGGTATTTCGCAGTACTGCTGCTTCTCTCCCGTAATCCAAACGTCACATACATGGTAGGTGAACAGACAAGTGTTTGAATAACCACTGTTTCTATACCATCTTGCAGATCAATTTACTCACTTTCCACAGAAAATTAGAATTTAGGCTTCTTTTGGCTTTCCCATAAATAAAATTAAACAATTCTAGATGAACTAAGTGTTCTTAAAATATAATGTACTCTTTCAAGTCGGAGTGTGCTTAACTAAATACTTTTTCTTTGAAACTGCTTTAATTTGACATGCTCATCCAGAGCTGTTGGGCTGTAGCAGTTAAATACTTTGCTGCAGATACAAGCCAGATGGGAGGTGGGAGGGGCTTTTAGTGATCCTTTGTGAGATGCATCAGTCCTGGGTAATGTTCTTTATTTCTGCAAGTATCATAACCGGGGGGGCTATGATGGTAGGCACAGGCTAGTCTTTGCTGTCTCTAGGACCATTTTGTCTGTTGTACGCAAATCGGTAAGACTTTCGGCATCTTTGTAGTTCTGCCACTATACATAGAGTAAGTTTTAAACACAGCAACCTACATATGCATTTAATTGCTTGTGTATTGGGTATTAAGGATAAACATTGGAGTGCATGTGTGACTTCATCCCTTTATTTTGCAGTTTTGAAGTGATAAAAGTTATCCATGGCAAGTTATTGGATATGGTGGGAAAAGTCCAGTAAGTAGTGACACTTTCATCTCATTTCATTGCAGGCATGTTACTAGTACTTTGTTCAGTATACTATAACTGTTCTGAAGTTCTGAACTTTCTTTCACAGAATACCCATTATGCTGGTTGGAAATAAAAAAGACCTGCATATGGAACGGTATGTGAACTCCAGTACGTCTAAAATGCAAGACAGCAGCCG